GGACGTCCATTCCCTGTGCTTTCTTCGGTGTCGTACGTGGTTTAGGGCGACGAGATCTATACATGTCCACTGGTCCTGGCCAGGCCCATCCTGGGCCCAGGAGCTGTGTATATGCCTCCCTGGCCAGGCCAGGAGGGCGTATACACCGCTCCTGGGCCCAGGATTGGCCTGGCCAGGAGCAGTGGATATGCATAGATCTCGTCGCCCTATTGTCGCAGGACGATCCAGGATGCTCCTGAAGAGCCCCCGCCGAGAAGCAGTGCACACGCCCGAGCGATGCCGAGTGTCTGGGTCGCCCTTCGCCCGAGTGTCTGGCCCGAGCAGGCCCTCCGCGCGAGGGCCCCGCACGCCGCCCGCTGCCTGCCCTGCAGCCGCCTCGGCGCGCCACGGCCTGCGCGCCTCCTCCTCCTCCTCCTCCTCCTCCTCCTCGATCCAAGGAGGAGGAGGAGGAGGAGGAGGAGGAGGAGGAGGAGGAGGAGGAGGAGGAGAAGGAGGAGGAGGAGGAGGAGGAGGAGGAGGAGGAGGAGGGCGGGGGGCGCCGCGCGCAGGCCGCGGGCGGGCGGCGCAGGCTTGCCTCGCCTCGGCGGTGCGTCGAGGGGGGGCCCTCGGCTCCCTGCGGCGCTCCCTCCGGGGGGGGGGGCACGGCGGCGGGGACGCAGCCCCGAGAGCCCGGCGACTCCACATCTGTTCGAGCTGGGCGTCTGCGCTCCTGCCCGGGCCCCGGGGCCCATCACGGGTCGACGCGGCTCGCAAAATGGCGCGGAGAAAGCTGGGGTCTGGGGCGCCGGGCGTGATTTTCTGCGGTCGTTGAATTTTTGTCACAGCGTCGGACCTCAGGGAGGGGGAACGGTGGGGTCGGAGGGAAAATCGCTTCGCACGGCCCATGGAGGAAGGAACGCGCGTGGAAAAAGGGAAGAAAGAGGCGCGGGGAACGAGAGCACCTGGCTGTGCCCGTTCCTCGACCTCACCTCGGGATAACCCTCCCTCTACGAATCCCGAGGGTTCCTCCCTCCTCCCCCCTCCATTTCCGGGAGGCCAGACGCCGCCTTTGGAGGCCTGTCGTGCCGCCGACCTGCAGAGGCGGGCGCCCTGGAGAGGCTCCCTCGGCGTCGAGGGCGTCTCCGAGGCGCTCCTCCGTGCAGACCCGGGGCATTGCAGTAGGAGCTCCACCACAAGAAACCTTCCACAAATAAACCCCCAGGACGTCCATGGATCTTTCGTGCGGGAGCGTCACGCTCTCCACAGCAGAGCCATCGAAACCCGAGAAGTGCAGGGGCCTCCCGGAGGCCAGGAGGCGTGGGCTTCCACTGCAGGCGCCTCTTCCCGCACCTTCCAGAGCACAGCGTCCGAGCCCACGCCACTGTCTCGCCCCCCCTCGGGGATGGACAGACCTCCCTTTAGCAAAACGTGGTTTAGTGAAAACGACCAGAGGCCCAAACCTGGCGGGCGCAAGCCTGGAAAATCACGGCCGCGGCGCCCTCTCGAGAACCGAAAACGGACAATTCACTAATCGACGTGTCGCTGTTGGGGGTTCTGTCCAGCCCCGACCCCCCCCTCCTCCTCCGACCCCGGAGGCGGACCCGGGCAGCCGCCGGGCTCCAGGCCGCCTGCCGGGGCCCGTGGCGCCGCCGCCTGCGGGCCCCGAGCGCGCCGCAGCCCCGGGCGGCCTGCCCCGCAGGCCAGGGCGCCGAGCCCGCGGTCGGCCCGTGTCGGAAGGGTGCGCGATGAGGATTCAATGACGACGCAGGGGCCTCGGAGGGGAGGGGAGGGGAGGGGAGGGGAGGGGAGGGGAGGGGAGGGGAGGGGAGGGCCGTCTCGGAGCTTCTCGAGCGGGATGCGGCCGACGAAGGCGGCCAGGGATGGGCCCAGGAGGCAAGGGATGCGAGGACACCCTTGGGAAGGTTTCGGCTGTACGCAAGAGTGACCCTGGGCAAGAGTGACCTTTGGTGCGCGGCTTAACGGGGGACGCGGGGTGGCCAATCCTGGGCGCGCAAGCCGCTGCCATCGCTTCGCGCTCAGCCATCTGGGGGCCCATCTGGGCCCGCACCAAAGGTCACTCCGGCGAAAGGTCACTCTTGCGTGTAGTCGAAGGTTGCCCACCCTTGCTATGCGGGTTGACTGTACTGTCTTCGGCTGCCGCGGTCTGGGCTGCAGACATGTCTGGCCAGTGCAGCGCGAGCCCTCCTCCGGCCCTCCCCCCGCCCCGACGCGCTCTCGCAGCTCCTCTCTCCACCGGGCCGCTCCCTCCCCTCCCCTCCCTTCAGAAGGGAATTCATTATGGCTGGCTCCCCCCCTCCCTCCTTCCCTTCCCTCCCTTCCCTCCCTTCCTCCTCCCTTCCCTCCCTCCCTCCCTCGCTCCCTCGCTGGCGTAACTCTCGAACCGCCAATCTGAGTTTGGGAACAAGTGAAACAAGTACGAGAGGAACGCAACCAAGTTCCCTCTCTCCCCGGCGAGGACGGCGAGGCTCCCGCCGGGGTGCCTCCCGACCCCCCCCCCCCCGCAAAAAGCCCAGGAGAGAGAGAGAGAGAGCCAGGCACGCTCGAGCCTGGATCCTGGATCCTCGAGCACCGGCCAGGGGAGGTGAGAGGCTCGGAGGTGAGCGTTCTCGCATTCGGCGTTGCGAGATGGGGCGGGAAGGGGGGAGGGGGGGGGGTCCTGGCTCCAGACCTCTGCTTGGTGCGGCTGTATGGAACCGTGCGTCCTCTGGGGGAGACCCCACCGGCTCGAAACAGGCGCCCAAACCAGGCAAGATCTGCTCCACGAGGAGGGGGGGGGGGGGCTTGGGATGCGAGAGCCCGCGCCATCGGCAAAACAGTGAACAAAAAACGCCTGGGGACCCTAGGGGGGCCCTCCTCGCCGGAGGCGCCCTCGGAGGACGCCCCGAGCTCCAGCACCGCACGGCCGCCCCGAATCCCCACTGGCTCACCGCCCAGTGTGGTCACCGCGCCGCGGAAGGGCCCCCCGAGAGGAGGCGGGGGGGAGGCGCCCACCGCCGGGCACCATGCCGCCCATCTTGCCGCAGCCGTCGGAGGACCAGGCGAGCGTCTGTCCGGCGCAGCCGCCCTTCGCCACGGCGAGGACGGGGTCGGCCCATGCCTCCTCTCGGGCGGGAAAGCGGGCAAGACCCAGAATTCAAGTCCCACCAGCCCTCTGGGCGTCGGTGGTTTCGGGAGTTTCGTCCTCCACCCCTCCTTCTGCCCCTTCGGGGAGGGGTTCATCACTGTTCCCTACGAATAAACACTCTCCCCCAGGCGACTGAGGGCCAACCAGGGTCTATGACGACACCCCCCACCATCCCTTGTAAAAAACAATACAAACACACACTCTGCCTCCAAATTCGGAACATGCGCAGCCAACCCGATGCGGCCCCCGACCCACCATCCCTGTCAAAAATAATACAGAATACTCTTGGCGGCGGCGGCGGCGGCTGCGGCGGCGGCGGCGGCGGCGGTGGCGGTGGCGGCAGCGGCTGCGGCTGCGGCGGCGGTTTGGCAGCGGGAGGCGGCGGCGGCGGCGGCGACGGCGGCAGGCGGCGGCGACGGCGGCAGGCGGCGGCGGCGGCGGGCGGCGGCGGGCGGCGGCGGCGGCGGCGGCGGCGGCGGCGGCGGCGGCGGCGGCGGCGGCGGATTGGCCCCCAGTAGCTGCCCATCCAAAGACGACTGCTGAATATGCTGAGGCTCGGGCCAGGCTCGGGTGCTACGTATGTGTTGGGAGGGCGGGTGGGAGTGAGCGAGACGGCTTGCGGGCGGGGAGGGGGTCTTGACCCCTCCCCCTGCCCCCTCCCCATGGACCTTGACAAGGGGCTTCGCGAGGTGTCGGAGCGTCCAGAACGGCCTCGGCGAGGAAGCCAAAATCATTTGTGTTACTAGGGTTTGGGCCCCATTTAGGCCTCCTGAGGGGGGACCCCAATTAGTGCTCCCCCCTCCTGTGATCGATCTTACCCAAGATGGCCCAAAGATGGCCCCCAAGGCTCCCAAGGGTGCCCTAAGAGGCCCCAAGGGGTGGCCAGGAAGCCCCAAGAGGCCCCCAGGATGCCCCCAAGAGGCTCCCAAGAGACCCCCAAGTGGCCCCAAGAGACCCCCCAGAGGCACCCAAGATGCTCCAAGAGGCCTCGGCGAGAATGCCAAATCATTGATTACACTAAGGTTTTGGCCACATGTTGGCCTCTTGGGGGGCACTAATTAAGATGACTCCAAGAGCGCCTGGGAGAGCCCAAGATGACCTCCAAGATGGCTCAAGACATCCCAAGATGTCTCATAATGGCTCCCACGATGCTCCAAGATGCCCCAAGACCGCTCCAGGACGGCTCCCAGTGGCCGAAGAGCTCCCCCAGGAGGCCCCGAAGAGGCCAAAACCTGAGGAAAGTCTATGTGTTTGGCTTTCTCGCCTTTTCGCTTCCGATGGCCATCCGAGGCCTCAAGATGGCTCCAAGATGGCCCAAGAAGGCTCCAAGAAAGGCTCCAGAGAGCCCCAACACGGCCCCAAGAGCGCATAGGAGCGCTCCAAGAGCGCCCCAAGAGCGCCCCAAGAGGCGATTGTTTGGGCTCCCGAGGTGCAACTCTAACTAGTGCTCGCTTCTTGTTTGATCGATGTCCCCCAAGATGGCCCCAAGAGCGCTCCCAAGGCTCCCAAGAGGACCTGACTCTTTATGGCGGACGACGGCCGATGGTGATCATCCTGGGCCCCCCTGGCCCCTGGGGGGGCTTCTCGGCTGCTGGGCTCTGCTCTGCTTGGGGGGCGGAAAGATACGGATACGTGTTGTCCCCGGACCTCTCTTGGGGTGCGTTCTGACCAGAATTTCGAGGCGAATCCAGCGGTGACAACGAGGATTCCCCAGGAGGACCAGGAAAGGCCGAAAACGACGGGGGACAACACGTATCCGTATCTTTTTCTCCCCCGATCTGCGCTGTTCTGCCTCGCTGCCTCGCATCGCACGGGCGCAGAGCGTCGCTGTGCACCGCACCGCATCGCAGGTGCGATGTTCTGAACCTGGGCGAGCAACGACATATGTACATGTACGCCCTCCGCGGTCTTGCCTGCACGAACGTCCTCGTTGACACGCACTCAAGGGGAAGCTAACCGCGTACGTGTACATATGTTGCTGGCCTCTGAGAACCTGCATACGCTCGGCCCAAGATGCCTCGAGGGCGGCCGGACGTGGCCTGCAGGCGTGCCAAGATGCCAGCAACAGGCCACAAGAGAGCACCGAGAGGCACGATAGCAGCAGCGGAGCAACAGGAACGTTGTCGAGCGCCGTGTCATGACTCGGACAAGCCTCGTGAAATGCGGTCCTGGAGGCGCAGTAGTTTGTATAGGGGTCGGCGGATGTGGCGTAAGCCTATAGAATGTGCATTGCACTTCAGCGCGTCGCTGCCAACCGCAACGCGAGGCGACGCCGAGCTCGTACATACAAAGTGGAGCAAGCTGAACAAGCGAAGGCAATTCTATGCAATGCGCTGCACTAGCAGGGCAAGGCTACAAGAAAAACAGCATGGACCCGACGGATCTGCGTTGGACCTCTCTCCCTGACGCGCGGAGCGCGCCATGGGCGCTGGAAGCGCCGCCATGTGGGGCCCAGTGCAGATTCAAGAAATCCGAGCGGAGCTGCAACAGCTTATGTTGATGCTCAAGAGCGGAACAAGACAGGAGGAGTCCGCACAGAGCGACGCAGACTGCAAGCCCGTGTCCAAGGACGTCCCCGGGGGTCCCCGAGTCTTCTCGTGCTCGTGAAGCATATCCATGTCCACAGCCTCGCGGTCTGGACTCCTAATAGGGCGACGAGATCTATGCATATCCACTGCTCCTGGCCAGGCCCATCCTGGGCCCAGGAGCGGTGTATATGCCTCCCTGGCCAAGCCAGGAGGGCGTATACACAGCTCTTGGGCCCAGGATTGGCCTGGCCGGGAGCAGTGGATATGTATAGATATCGTCGCCCTATCCTAAGCCGCAACCCCACGGATCCAGGGCAGCTCTGTGCGGGGACCCCGCGCGGAACGGACCCCTGGGATCGCATATGCGTGGGCCGTGGGATTGCGCCTCGGCAGCGAGACCACGAGGCCACGAATACGGATACGTGTGCTCGTCGGTCGTGGGCCTCCCCGGGAGCGTCTCGGGATTCCAAGCTTGAGCAGGGACCGACCGTCCCGGCATTCCTGTAGTCCTACCACGAAATGTTCTTGGAACCCAAACATGTTATAAACCCGATGTGATAAAACAGGACAGTCCCAGCCAGGAATGTTCTAAGAACATTTCGTGGGAACCACGAAAGGTTCTTAGAACATTGTTTGGTGGGGCTATAGGCACGCCAAGACGCTTCGCCACTGCTTGACAAGCAGCGCTGCATTCGCAGAGCCCGTGCCGGCACTGACCGCGCACGCGAGCGCAGGGGCTCCCAGACAGCTGCCCGCCCAGCAAGAAGGCCGAGTGCACCCATCTCGTCCCTGCTCGCTGTTTCCTCCTTGCTCTGCCGTCGTCGCCGTCCGTCCTCCACCCTCCCTCTTCCTTCCTCGCCGTGGACACGCCCCTCCTGACTTCACAGTGCTGCAACCAATAGCGCATATTCGCTTGGTGTGGCACGCATGGAAGATCACGTGATGGCACGTCTTGCGTACTCCAACGCGGTGCAACGTACCACAGCATCTGGGAAAGCACAACGCCGCACACGATACCACAGGGATGTCGTGCTCTGTGCTGCTCTCAGGGAGTAGCCCCGATCGAGCTCGCGCTGGGCCCATTTCACGTCCTCGTGACTTCCACGACGTTCGATGACAGGCGAGGGAACTGCTGAGCCCGCCCTTCGGGGCTGCGCCACCACGCCCGGCCCCCGAGCCACCCCCCCCCCCCCGCGCCAGCGCAGAAGCTGAAAGCCGCGCGCCACTGGGTAAGCCACGCCGCCGCCGCCGTCGTCAGCCGAGCCCAAGACATTTAGCCCCAGGGGCCATGACCCAGACATCCAGCCGCTCCAAATTTTTTGTGCGCGGGCCCCAAAGGTCTGGGCCACGTCCCTAGGGCTGGCTTTTCGTCTTGAACCGTTTTTTGACGGTCCCGAGGCCTGGCGAGGGCCCCCGGAGGCCGAAAGTAGCCCAAATCCCACCGCCCTAATTTTTGTTGGAGCGTCGGATCTCTGGGCATCTCGGCACAACAGCGCAGCAGAATCGAGCCCCTCGCGGCCCGGGCCCTGGGCCGGGGGAGGGCCCTCGGAAGACTGGACCCCGCGGCCCCGGGCCCGCGCCACGCCGCGGGAGCGCCAGCCGCGCCTACAGGCGACGAGGGCAGCGACGAGGACGAGGACGAGGACGAGGACGACGGCGACGACGGCGGCGGCGACGAGGGCAGCGACGAGGACGGGGACGGGGACGAGGACGAGGACGAGGACGACGGCGACGACGGCGGCGACGACGGCAGTCGGCGCGGCGTGGGGGCACGAGCGCGCCGACTGCGCGCGGCCGCCCGCCCTCCCCGGCGGCGCTGCCGGGCCTTGCCGCCAGAGGCCGGGCCGCCGCCGAAGCCGTCCTTGCCCCAGCCGCCTGCTGGCGCGCGCGCGCAGGCCCTCGCTCCCCCTCGCTCCCCCTCGCTCCCCCCCCCTCATCCCCCTCCCCCTCCTCCTCCCCCTCCTCCCCCTCCTCCTCCCCCTCCGCCTCCACAATGACTCAATATGGATACTACTCTCCCTCTTCTTACCCTGATGACGGTTTGAAAGTGCTCGACACCCCCCCCCCGCGTTCTGTTTTTTTACACACAGGTTTCCCCGGAGTTGGGTTTTCGCCTGCATGTTTTCCAAAACGCTGCTCTCGCTGCAGCGCTGGCCTCATTTCCGGGCCCCGCTCGTTCCGAATCGTGCCCCCGCTGCAGATCTGGCGTCATTTCCCGGGCCAAGCCACGGCACGCAATGCAATACTAGGTTGCGTTCCGCTGCGCGATGCCATGCCTTCAGCTGAAGCTGTGATATGCAGTGCTTAAGTGCCACGTCGTGCTATGCCATGCTACGCTTTGATCTGCAACGCCATGCTATGCAATGTTATGTTCGGGGCCGCTGTGCGATGCCATGCTTTGCGTTGCAAAGCTTTGTGATGCAATTCTTCACTACGCCACGCCACGCCATGCTGTGACATACTACGCTTTGCGGTGCTCTTCTACGCCATGCCATGCCGTGCTCTACAATGCATCGCGTACCCTTTCGGGATCATTGCCCTGCTCGACATCCGACTGTGCGAGTAGAGAGGGGATCTACGCCATGGTAAGGGATGGGAGGGAGGGGTAGGATGTCAGATATGACGCGAGCGCACCTAGCTTGTCCCCTCCCCCTCCCCCTCCCCCTCCTCCCTCCTCCTCCTCCTCCTCCTCCTCCTCCTCCTCCTCCTCCTCCTCCTCCTCCTCCTCCTTGAAGGAGGGGAGTGATCAGGGTTCTCGCTGGGATGGTGTGACTTTATCCGCCGACCCCTCGGGGTTCATCGGCGCGTGAGGTGTTCCCCCCTCCCAGAACCCCTCCCCCTGGCCATCGCTCGGACGTCCATGCCCTGTGTTTTTTTTCGGTTTCGTGCGCGGCTTTTCCGCCGAATGATCCCGGAGGCTCCTCGAGGGTCCTCGCCGACGAAAGAGAGTGCACGCGCCCGAGCGATGCCAATCCCGCGCCTCGCACCTTCCGCGCGGCAAGGCTCGCTGCGACGCGGCCGCGGCGGCCGCCGCCTCCGGCGGTGGCCGCCGTGGCGCGGCGCCTGCCGCGCGGAAGGTGCGAAGGGTGGAGACTGAAGAGGGGGGGGGGCAGCGCGAGCGGGGCAGCCTTCTTACAAGACGCTCCGCCTCACAGAGGCCCCCAAAGAGGGGGCCGATCCCTTCTGAGAAGTCCTCGGGCCCTTCCGAGAAGTCCTCGGCCTGCGTGTTGGAAGGGCCGCCACCCTCGCCCCGTCCCCTTCTCCGCGCCGCCGCGCCTTTGCCCCACCCGCCGTCGCCGACCGACTGGCCGCCGTCCTTGCCGCCAAAGCCCCAGCCGCCCTTGAGCGCCTTCGGCAGGCCCGGGGGGGTACCGGCCGACACTTGGCAGCGCAGGGAGCTGAGTTGAGATTGGGGAAGGGTCAAGACCACATGTTGGGGAGGCATCGGACGTGGCCAATGACCAAGGACAAACGTGGGTGCATACCGAAGGTTATGTTCACGCATGTATGTATACATGCATTTACATACAACTATACATCGATATATGTTTTATACCCAACAATACGTGCACTTAGGGACTCTCACTCTTCACTAAATGATTGGTTGGATATTCAAGGTTTTCGCCAAGCTGCCGCCCGTGCCGCCTCGTGGGCGCCTCGAGAATACGTGCACTTAGGGAATATCACTCTTTACTAAGTCCGCCGACTCTGTCGGCGTGTGGAATGGGTTGTTTTTTCTCGTCCGTGCCTCCTTCCCTTTCCCACCTTCTCCGTCTCCTTCTCGTTCGTCTCCCCCTCCTCCTCCTCCTCCTCCTCCTCCTCCTCCTCCTCCTCCTCCTCCTCCATCTCTTCCTCCTGCGTAAAGTAAATTGACTCGAAGGGTTTCCCCTTCCCTTTGTTCCCTTCCCCGGCCGAGGGGGGGGTCCCGGGGGAAGCCCGGGGGGGGTCCTGGGGGGGGTCCCGGGGGGGGGTCAGGGGGTCCGGGTCAGAATACCACCTCCCTCCTCCTCCTCCTCCTGTGGGTCTTTTGCCACCTTCTCCATCTCCTTTTTTTTTTGTCTCCCCCTCCTCCTCCTCCTCCTCCTCCTCTCCTCCTCCTCTTCCTCCTCCTCTCTTCCTCTTCCTCTTTCGTCTCTCCTCCTCTCCTCCTCCTTTTTCTCCTCTTCCCTCCTCCTCTCCGGATCAGACTGCCACCTATTCCTCCTCCTCCTCCTCCTCCTCCTCCTCATCCTCATCCTCTCCTCTCTCCTCCTCCTCCTCCTCCTCCTCCATTTTCTCCTCCTGCTCCTCCTCCTCCTCCTCCTCTTTCTCCTCCTCTTCCTTCTCCTCTTCCTCCCCCTCCTCCTCCTCCTCCTCCTCCTTCTCACACACTTCCTCCGCCTACCCTGCCACGTTGTCCTTTAGCTCCTTCCTATGATTACACATCCCGTCGCCATCGACGGCCAAAACCTTCAGGGTCGGCGGCACCGGCCGTAAGGCCCTCACAATGATTGGTTGGGTATTCAAGGTGTTCGCCAAGCTGCCGCCCGTGCCGCCTCGTGGGCGCCTCGTGGCAGCCCCGTGTTAAGGGGGATACGACGAAACTGTGCAACGTTGCCGCCCATGCCGCCTCATGGGCGCCTGGTGAGCGCCCGACGCTTGGGGGGTACAGCCGAGGCTGCGCAACACTGCCGCCCGTGCCGCCTCGTGGACGCCCCACGCTCGGGTGGTACGCCGAGATTGCGCCACATTGCCGCACGTGCCGCATGGTGGGCGCCGCGTGGGCGCCCCGTGCTCTGAGCTTACACATCATAGCTTGAACCCTATAGCTTATACCACATAATGTACGACACACAGCTTACACAACGTGGCTTGCACCACATAGCCTGCACACTATAGCTTACATCACATAGCTTGCACTCCGTAGCTTCCAATTTCCCATTCACGTCACATAACTTCTGCGGTTTATGGGTTTGACCTCCGCAACTCTCACCACAGGCCTTTCACCTCACAACACACTTCACGAAGTGATTGGAGTCCACACAGGCTGAGCTTTGTTCGTTGATCCGTGAAAAAAACTAGCTGGTATACCGGGTGTTCGCCACGTTGCCGCCCGTGCCGCCTCGTGAGCGCCTCACGGGCGCCCGTTGTGAGGGAGGTCATGCCGAAGTCGCGCCACGCTGCCGCCCGTGCTGCCTTGAGGGCGCCTCGTGGGCGCCCCGCGCTTGGGAAGTACGCCGAGGTTGCGCCACGTTGCCGCCCGTGCAGCCTCGTGGGCGCCAAGTGGGCGCCCCGTGCGCTGGGTGGGTTTCCCGAGGTTGCGCCACGCTGCCGTCCGTGCCGCTTGGTGGGCGCCACGTGGGCGCCCCGTGCTCCGAACTCACACGCCGCAGCTCTCGCACGGCATAGCTTACACCACATAGCTTGCACCACACGGATGCTACAAAGCAGCCTACAGAACACAGCTTACACCCCACACATTCCACCTCCAGTTCACGCCGCCTCCATACCTCACGCCATACAGTTTCTCTTTTCCAAAAAGGATTCCGCCAGCCCCCTTGCGGGGCCGCTGGGTTACGAGGGTCAGGCTTCCAACAGCTAGGGGGGAGGCCGAAAACCACCCTGGCCACCACGGCCTCTCAGGGTTCTCAGAGTTCCCCAGGGGGCCCTGGGACGTAGCAAAATATATGAGATTCGCGTCCCTGGGGCCATGCTCCTCCTAGATTGCTCCAGGCTCGCGCTCCCGAGGCAGAAACCCACAGAAAATTACCAGTTTCGCACGCCCGTAAGCTAAACTTGGTTCGCGGTCCCCAGACACCAAAGTCACTTGCTAATTACGCCAGGTTCGCGCTCCCGAAGCAGATTCCATCGCAACGAGCACTGCATTCGCGCTCCCGAAGCTAGATCCCTTGTTAAATTGCATCAGGTTTGTGTTCCCGAGGCCAGAAACCTTTTGCAAATACATTAGATTCGCGCTTCCGGAGCCCCTCGTAAACTACTCCAGATTCGCGCTCCCGAAGCCAAAACCCTTCGTACATTGCCCTAGGCTTGCGCTCCCGAAGCCAGAATCCACTTCTAGATTGCACCATATTCGCGCTCCCGAGGCCTGAATCACTTGCAAAGCAGCGCCGGCACGTCCCATCGTAGCTCTGACGCCTCTCGTTCTGATATAGAGAAGGGGCTGGGCGGCAGAGTGCGAGACCATTACGGATAATATCTGGCAACCGCCCGATACCAGACTTAAAGGTCCACCCTGGGGCATTGTAACTTACATTCGTTTCTGCCTCGTCGTTTATGTTCAATTTGAAATCACTACATCCCAGCCAGGCCAACATTGACACCCCCCTCACCCCCGTCAAATGAAACTATTCGCGCGCACTTGTTTATCTCAAAAGGTAGTTGTCCAATAGTCCCTTGCAGCAAATACCATACAGAAGCACACGCGCAGGTGTCGAAATCACATCAAGCACATGAGATGACGAGCTGCCCACCATGAAAGCGCAAATACTGTGTTGGCTGTTGTTGCAGGTGTTCTGCCCGCGCGCGCTCGCTAACATTATACGAGCATATTAGCTTAGCAAGCTTGTCCAACATCCGCATTCTCGACTCACCACGAGGTGCATCCGCGTTGATCGAACACGCGGCCAGAGCCCGAAGCCATGCCAAACATTACAACGCGGGCAACATGTGCGCGTCTCCTCGCGAGCGTCGAACACCTTCCAAAACCAATAGTTGCTGAAGCACTTCAAGATAGATGATAGATCTTGCTCAAACTATTCTAAATTCTAAGTGTTATTCCGCAACGCATGTGCCAACTGTGAATTTCTGTGCGCGAGCACTACCTCAACACCTCTATCAGCGTCGTCGCTTCGCCGACACGATCGTCATCGTCAATCGCACAATCACCTTCATCGACGGCACATAGACATCATCATCACCAGCATCAGCATACTAATCAACATTATCATCATTTTCACAATCATCATCAACATCATCACCATCAACATCATCATCATCATCATCATCATCATCATCATCATCATCATCATCATCATCATCATTATCATCATCATCAGCATCGTCATTATCAGCATCATCATCATCATCATCATCATCATCATCATCATCATCATTGTCATCATCATTGTCATCATCATTGTCATCATTGTCATCATCATCATCATCACCATCCTCATCGTCATCGGCATCACCAATATCGGCGCCGTCATTGACCTGCCGTCATCGTTACTATCGCCACCACTATCGCTGTTATGACGATGTCCACGTCATCATGATATCGCGCCCGCCCGAATCATTGACCCGCGCTGAAATGGCCGCGGCCCAGCGCTGTTTTCGAGGCGCGCCGGGAAGTTCTCATCCGTAAGCGCCATCGCAATCGCAGCACTTGTGCCAATCTAGCTGGTCGCTTTGAGCGCGAGCGTGCGCTCTCCAACGCAGCCGCAAAGATGCTCCATTCAAGGCCAATGAGCAACCGCAATCGTGGCCGACTGAGTTTTGCCAGCCAAGATGCGGGTGGGAGGGTGGGGTGCTTCCGCGAACAGTGGAATTGACGACTTCAAAATCATCTTAATCACTTGCGCCGCATACCGTTCACCACGTAGCTGAAACCGCATAGACTTCACTCCCACCGCGTAGTGTCGCACTCTTTCGGACCCACGCTGGCAAACATGCACAGGTATACATACGTAGCACCTCGCAGCCGCGGATCAGAGTGAGGGGGCGGCGGGGACGTCGGCAATCAGCGAGGCTCTCAAGAAGCCCGCCGCAGGCGCGTAATTTTTTCAAATTCTACAACGAGCCCGCCGCAAACGCCGATTTTTCGTTGAAGCAATGTTGGTGTGTCGCGAGGTGGGTCGCGGGTGGGTCGCGGGTGCGTCGCGGGCCGGGTCGCGGGTGAGTCGCGGGTGAGTCGCGGGTGGCTCGCGGATGGGTCGCGGGTGGGTCGCGGGCGGGTCGCGGGGTGGGTCGCGGAGGGGTCGCGGACGGGTCGCAGGGTGGGTCGCGGGGTGGGTCGCGGGCGGGTCGCGGGGCGGGTCGCACGTGGGTCGCGGGCCAGGTCGCGGGGGGGACGACGCGAAACAACAACAACAACAACAACAACAACAACAACAACAACAACAACAACAACAACAATTACTAGCACGTGGGGACACTCCGTTCTCACCAGTGCCAGGGTTTTCATACGACGCCGCCAATACCCCCACTTTGTGGGGGGGCCGGTTCAAGCTCTACCAAATTTCCAAACGACTCTTCGCCACCACCCACACCCAGCTTCCCGCCCTATGACGTTCGGACACTTCACTTCGTGGCCTGCGGACGACCGTGGCTACTACACTGGCGCATGGGACT